ATTCAGATGGCTTTGTTTGACACACTATATCCTAAAAGTGGAAAGAAAGATTTAGTTATTTGGACAGCCTCTTCCTCTAGAGTGTTTGATACAAGCAGTGCATGGCATTCTCTACGAGCTAAGCAAAGGAAAGTGCCATGGCACAATTTGGTTTGGTTCTCACATGCAATTCCCAAGCATAGTTTCATTTGTTGGCTAGCAATATTGGACAGATTGACAACGAGAAGTAGACAGAAAAAGTGGACCTCTAGCATTGATTACACTTGCTTGTTTTGCAGCTCAGGAGTAGAAACTAATGATCACCTATTTTTTAACTGCCAGTTTACAAAACAAGTATGGCAAACTGTTTGTAGCATGGCAGAAATTCCTTTATTTTGTTCTTGGCAAGGGCTACTAGCTTGGTTAGGGAAAAGGATTAGAAGGAAGTCCGTATATTGTGCTCTTATAAAGCTTGCATGGAATGCTACTGTGTATCATGTTTGGCGAGAAAGGAACAGTAGAGTTTACAAGCAACAATTCAGATCAGTTTCACAGATTGTCAATGATATTCTTTTTGATGTGAGGAACAAGGTTTTAGCCTTTGCAACTCCAAAGTCCTCTTCACTACCGATGTCTATAGCAGTGCAGTGGGGACTTGTACAGGTTCAAAAGCCACCAGTACAGCCTTAGATGAAATGTTTCCTTGGTTAGAATTGTAATGAATTGTAGTAGCAACTGACTTGCTGCTTATGTGTGTATGCTAGTTTTAATGGATAAATAAAATTTTACATTTTATCCAAAAAAAATCAAAGTCAAAAAACATCTAGTTCAAAAGGAAGACACAATTCAAGTCCTCCGTTCAACCTTGGTGAGATCTTCTACGACATGGACTGACTAACATGTGATCTAATACACCAGACTCTGAACAAAGTTCGGTTAAGCAAACTTATAACTGTCCTTGATTGATGGACAAAATAAAGGACAAGAAACCTCAGCGATTCAATCCGAATATGCATTGATGCAGTGACAAATCCGAAGATTAAGCAGAACATTCAGAAAGAAAATGCTGAGTGAACAAGTTTACTGGACAACTAATTGTAGAGAGCGACAATGATCTAATGAGGATTGGGTGGACGGATATTAGCAGCAGAGACCCTTGAGCCCCATTCCAAAAGCTCTTTGCTGGTATCATCCTTATGAACTATCACCTCAATGAAGCACAGGGAGTCCTTGGGTCCTGTTGCAGTCTCAATTGCTTTGATCAGCTCTTCCTCTGTGTGGAGCTATAAAAAGAAGATAACAGTGTTGGTTATGTAATCAGAACCATTCTCTTTGAGAGGATTTGATGAGGTGAATCAAATTAACCAAGCTTGAAATGAACTGAACACAGAACCAATAACAACACTTGCGGGGTCAGAGCCTCTGCAAACCCCAAAGCCCTGAAGTAAAAAGATTCACTTCTACTCTACGGAACAATCTATTCACTATTTGCTTTGAATTCAATGCAAAACCTCTTGGTCCACCACTTCTGTATTCAGAATGGAAAGCCTCGGTAGGATAATTCCCACACATTGGATTAACAACCTCAACCATGCATTTTCCTAATAAAATAGTTCTAAATTCAAATATGCTAAAAGGGGAACAATTCCTCCCTTCCCACTTGGGCATGGAATATGTTCACCTCCATAATTTCTATGGAAAGGCGGGCTAAATATGAAGCAAGAAAACTAGAAATATAACATTATTAATCTCATGAAGAAGTAAAATTTGATACTGAAAATTACCAATTTACAAAGCTTTGTTACCACAGTTTTCATAATCAAAACTATTCTAAAGCTTTGCTGCTTTGTCCCAATTGCTAATTTAACTACTCCTCAGTATTGAAGCTTGTAATTTTGACTATAATTAATCAGTTTATTCTTTGATATGTGCTTTCAAGGAAATTATGAAGTTGACTTTCATTCCCTTTTCTATTCGTCCTTCAATAGCTCCTAATACCATAAAGGCCTTGGACTCAACCTAACCCAAGCAATTATATTCTCTGAACGAAGATAAGAACAAGAAATTATAAATTTAAAAAAAGGAAGAAAAATTTAAAAATAATCCAAATAGAAGAATAAAATAGGAACTAGTATTCTTTAACATATTTAATTTTCCAAAATTAAAATAAGAACAAGAAACAATTAACTCGAAATTCGTACCGGCTACATACTTTAAAGGTTAAACTCTCATTTTGGTCCCTCAACTATTGTACGAACCCCGACTTAGTCCCTCAACTCAAAAAATCCCTAATTTGGTCCCTACTGTTTACCATTTTTACCCCAATTTAGTCCCTCCGTTAAAAATCCAATGACATGTCCTGTTAATTAACTGAAGCATGATGATGTGTCAAAATAGAATGACACCTCATATGCACACCTGTAAAAAATGACATGGCAGTATGATTCGGATCCAAAATCAAAAAAAAAAAAAGTGGGCCCCACCTCCTGCAAATCTTGAACTCTTCTCCCCCGTTATTCCCATTCCCAGTTCCCAATTCCTCATCTTGCCTAGCCTTCTTCATCAATTAATTCCTTCATCATCATGAAACAACAAACAAGATCCACAGAAAAAAAAAAATTCTCTTTTTCTTTACTTTTTGCTCTTGGGTTCGAACGAACCCAGGAAGCCAGGCGTCTTCCTAGGTTCGAACGAACCCAGGAGGACACCTGGGTTCGTCCTCCTGGGTTCGTTCAAACCCAGGTGGTGTCCTGGGTTCTTTCAAACCCAAGCGGCCCCCGTTCTTCCCATTCCCAGTTCCCAGTTCCTCATCTTGCCTAGCCTTCTTCATCAATCAATTCCTTCATCATCATGAAACAACAAACAAGATCCACAGAAAAAAAAAAATTTTTTTCTCTTTTTTTTTACTTTTTGCTCTTGGGTTCGTTCGAACCCAGGAAGCCAGGCATCTTCCTGGGTTCGTTCGAACCCAGGCGTCCTAGGTTCGTTCAAACCCAGGAGGACGCTTGGGTTCAAACGAACCCAGGCGACGTCCTGGATTCGTTCGAACGCTGCCTGGGTTCAAAAGAACCCAGTAAGTGCTGGTTTCCAAGGGGTAAAGAAAAGGAAAGAGAAGAAAGAAAGAAAAAAAAAAAAGAATTAAAAAAATTTTTTTGACATATTTTTTTTTTTTCATGTCAATCACTTTTTTTCATACGTGTGAATCTGATGTGGCACGTTATTTTGACACATCATCATGCTTCAGTTAATTAATAGGACACGTCATTGGATTTTTAACGGAGGGACTAAATTGGGGTAAAAATGGTAAACAGTAGGGATCAAATCAAGGATTTTTTGAGTTCAGGGACCAAATCAAGGGTCCGTACAATAGTTGAGGGACCAAAAAAGGGTTTTAACCTACTTTAAATTTACGCTCTGAAGATGATGAAAGATCATACGAATCGCTTGAGTTTTCGATTTCCATTCCACTGACATTCGGTACTCACTACCTTCAACGTCCAATAATTTGGCCCCGGCAGCCGCAGGTTACGCCAGCCAAATAACAGCAATTCGCATCCGGTTCCAGTGAAAAGAGCAGCATTGAAATTGCGGCTTAGCTGAATTGGACCAACGACGAACGTTGATCCTCAAGAAATCGACTAAGAACGGGGACGAAAGTTAGGTGTCGGCAGGAAGGCCGGAAAGTTACCGACACCAGCAGTCGACAGGGAGAAATCTCCATTTTGGAAGAAATGGGGAATGAACTGGAAACCGACAGAAGCGCCAAGGAACGAGGGTGAAAGCGGAATGTAATAGTTGTGGTATGGACCTGACTTCGTTTGTTTATTTTGGGTCGAAACTCCAAAGGCCACAAGAATTTGATCCATGAAAGATCCAATTATCCACTAACCTTAACCTAACCCAAGAAAGGTTGAAGTAAACAGGGCCGGTACATTGAAGAAATCCATGCGTATGGCACTCGTCGATCATTATTTGATTTTGAAAAAATGTTTATTAGCAACACTTAACAAAAAATTTACACGAAAAAATATTTTAAAATTATGTTATTTTGATTAATTTTTATTAAAAATAATTAAACTATCTTAATATTTAAAATATAAATGATATTATTTTATTTTTTATAATATTTTTTAAAATATCTAAAATAACGTTATTTTAAAATATTTTTTTATTAATTTTTTTTTAAGTATGTTTGATAATTTTTTTTTTACATACAACAAAGTTCAATATAATTTTAGATATACTCTCTAATAATTTTGTTACTATCATTATTATTATTATCAAAAATTAAAATTAACAATAATACATTCACCATTGACAAAATAATTACCAAATAGTAAAATAGTTTTTAACAAGACATATCCTTAGCCAAACACATAATAATACAACATATCAATACAACATAAGACATGAATCACACAACATAAGACATGAATCGCATGTAACTGCGTAAGAAGGTCAAGTTCTGATATTGAAAAATGTAAGCATATAACACAGATTAAAGTTTAAAGAGTAGTGCTCCCAATGATCCTCACCGCTGCTTGCTCCTCAACTATGTTCTGGAGCTCCTAGAAGCTCCCCTTCCACGACTTCTTCTTCTTTGATTCAATAGAGGGAAGAACCTGGAAAGAAGACCATCAGCATGTTTGCAATACCACATCCTCCATCTCTTGCATAACATAAGTGGTAGAATGACAATTCCTAAGCCAAAAACAAATCCCAATTCAATGCTTAGGAAGTTCCAGTCAATATGCCTTCCATGTCTAAATGTTTGTCTTTGGATGGTGGCAATACATTAAGACTGCAATTTTCCTTCAAGGGCATCCCACATAATCCCTTGTTATCTCTAAATGAATCTTCTGAAAATGTTTGAAGCTGCCTTCCACTTGGGATTCTTCCTTCAAGTTGATTGTGTGAGAGATTAAGGACTGCAAGGAAATTAAGATTATCCAATTGCTGAGGAATTTCACCATTTAGGTTGTTACTAGAAAAGTCCAAAGACTCAAGATGTAGCAAGTTTCCTAGAGATGAAGGAATTAGACCTGTGAAACCATTATGTGACAAGTTGAGGGCATAGAGTGCCCTAAACTCCCCCAAAACCTCTGGTATTTGCCCTTCAAACTTGTTACATGAAAAATCAATGGAGATTAAGAGACTTATGATTTTCACCAACCGCGTCTCACAACCTTTAATGGTAATTGAAGCCGCATATTGATAATAGATTCCTTGAGAGAAATTGTTGTTACCACTTTCCACATCGCTCCTCAAAGCATCATACCCATGTAAGGCCTTGTAAATTTGGGCATTTCTTGTTGAACCATAACATCCTTCAGAACCCCTGCAAATTTGGGTATTTCTTGTTGAACCATAACATCCTTCAGAATCCCTGCAAAGTCCGGGTTTTCTTGTGAAATGATTACCATAACATCTTTTAGAGATTCCATAGCTATGATCAAGGTCCAAACGAACATTATCCTCCAAAACAAGGACTTTGAGCTCATCCGAAGCAACCATCATTGCCTTCCAGGTCTGTAACCAACGATAAGGCAATTCTCCCCTTAAATGATTAGAAGAAAGATCGACAATTTGAAGTAGTGGCCAGGAGGAATTGTCATCCAGGCAATTAATCAACCCATGAAACTTGTTGTGCCTCAATACCAAGACTCGCAAATTAGACATGTTCTTCAAATGGCATGGAAAAGTATAATTGATCTGGTTGTTCCCAAGGTCTAGGACCTCCAACATTGCACAGTTGGCTAGAGATCTAGGAACCTTCCCTTCTAAGTGGTTTCCATCGAGGTTTAGTGTTTGTAGTAAACAATTACTTGAAAATTTATCAGAGATGTTGCCGTTGAGGTTATTTCTACTCAGGCCCAACACCTTAAGAGACTCCATCTCATTTAAGCATTGAGGAATACTGCCATTCAGGTAATTATTCGACAAATCAAGGACTTGAAGATTTGCAGCACCGCAAATTGATTCAGGAATACTTCCTCGGAGGCTGTTATTGGAAAGAAGGATGAAGGAAATGGTACTTGAGCTACTGTAGAATTGTATGGTAGAGTTGAAGTTGTTGCTCGAGTAATCTACATATTTTAAATATCGTGAGAGCTTTGGTAGTTGACCTTGCAATTTGTTGTCATGAAGATCTAAAACTAACAAAGAAGAACTCGGAGCCTGCAAGGTCCTTGTGAATTCACCAGAGAGTTGTGAGAAAGATTTAAGTAATCAAGAGACAAACTAGTCCAAACCCAGTTAGGTATTTCCCCATCAATCTGGTTGGCTGAAAGATCTAAAATTGATAGTTTGGGTTGCTCCTCCAGGAAATTTGGGAATCTTTTCAGCTTGCAAGAGGCCAATTTTAATGTCTGAATTTGGGAAACAGAAACAGGATCGGAAATGGTTGCATTGATGGACAAGCTATTGAATGAGAGATCAAGAGTAGAGAGATTCCTGAGGTTCCAAATTGAACTTAAAGTTAACGAACCACTAAAATTATTGGAAGAAAGGATGAGAACTTGAAGGCTTTGGAGTCTAAACACAAACATTGGGAAAGGTCCAACCAACATATTGTTATCCAACTCAAGGGAGTGCAATGCAGTGGAAGCTAATTCTGGGGGTTCATGCAATCCACCAGTGAACTGATTTTGAGAGAGCACTAAACTTTGCAAAGATGGAATGCCAAACAAAGTTGCAGGGAGGGTTCCATTTAGTGCATTGTCTCTCAAATCAATAATCACAAGCTTGGAAAGGCTTGACCATTCAATAGAGAGAATTGAACCAGTTAATTGATTGTGGGCTAGATTTAGGTGGGTAAGATTTTTGGCTAATGAAAAAGACGGGATTGGACCAGAAAAATTGTTGGACGAAAAATCTAGTAAGACAAGTTGTGTGAGATTTGCCATTGCTTCTGGAATTGTTCCATTGAAATGGCATCCTGCAAGGTCTATCCTTGATAGCCTCCCCAGGTTTCCAATAGATTTTGGTAAAGTCCCCCCAAAATGTGTTCCGTTGAGTAGCAAGGTCTCAAGAGATGAAGTGGGAAGAAATTCTATGAGAGATCCTTCAAGAAGTGGGTTTCCTGACAAGTCAAGAGTTTTTAGTGTACGAACCTGGAAAATTTTCTCTGGAAATGGACCAAACAGATTGTTTCCATCCAAACGAATTACTGAAAGAGACTGAAGCTTGGAAAGGGAAGAATCGATGGAGCTTGAAAGATGACAGTTTGACATGCTCAATACTTTCAAGTTAGACAAAGAGGACAACGCCTGGCACCACTCCTTCCCCGGTGTTGATATATTTATCCCATCAAGATAAAGATGCCTTAGCTCCTTGAGATTCTGAACAAGCATAACTAGATTTGGGTTCTCAAGTTTCAATTCAAGATGGAAATTGGTAGATAAATCAAGAGTAACCAAGCTCGTCAGCCTTGAAATCTCAAGCGGAATTTGCCCATAGAAGCCAGCATTTGAGAGGTTAAGATGCCTCAGGTTTGAAAGTTTATCAAACTGGGAAGGAGCGATGAAGCTGAAGCTGTTGTTTGCCAAATTTAGACTCTGGAGATGCTGGAGATTGAAGAGACTGCTTGATTTGTCAATTCCATCGAAAATCCGTTCATTGCTCAAATCAAGATCAATAACACGACCCCTAACATCACACGTTACACCTTCCCACATGCAGCAATCTAGGCTTTGATTCCACTTCACCAATTTGAGAGATACATCAGGATTGAAGCGGAGCCTGTTCTTCAATTGAAGCAACAATTCCTGTTGGTCGCTTTGACAGTGACCAAAAGCCAAACCCACATTAATCTGCAAGAAAATTATTGCAAGAAGTAACATGAAAAACCAAGAAAAGAGTGAAAGTATCATTGGTCGAAACAATGCCAATAGTTTTAGAGATCGGCGAAAATGAGAGATTGACTAATAATAGCAACTTCTTAAGTCTTGAACATAGGCCTCTTTGCCCAGTTATTTATAATCATGATCACCTAAGTATCTATACAAGCCATTTACATTTCTATAGCTTTGCTGAAATAAAACATCAGTCTACGCCATAAAAAAAAAAAAAGAAAAAAAAATGGTGATGTCACCGGAAGTCTACTGTTCTACCTACTAAAGTATGTGAGACTAACCGACCGGGAGTACCTACTAAAGTATGTGAGACTAACCGACCGGGAGTCAATGCACCATTGGATATAGCACGAGTTGATAAAGACCGAAGGAGACTGAAGGAGGAAATTTTGAATATATCAATTGAGTGGTTCCATCAAATTTCTGCATTGGAAAGACCGTTCCATTCACAAAGCTTTATTGCATTGTACTAAGTAAAAACAAATTCTAATCTAGAGAAAAGCTAACCTATAAAGGAGTCACTTTGTTGAATGTGGAAACGTTAACGTAACTTTTTACTTAATTTACGCGTCTACTTTACCCTATTTAACCACTTTTTTGCTTTTTTGCTTTTTTGCTTTTTTGCTTTTTAGCTTTCGACCATTAAATAGTTTGGTCTTCCGAAATTATGAACTTGGGATCTCTTTTCTACTTTTTTTGAAAGCTCTAAAGATTAGTTGGCTACATCCGTTAGATTGAGATTTGCAGATGAAAAATCGAAGAAGTTGCTTGAGTTCTCAATTTCCAATAATATGGGCCCCGGGGACTCCTGTCCTGTTACACAGGCCTAAGAACAGTCCAGTTTTTAAAAATAAAAAGATAAAAAATAAAAAATAATTAAGGGAACTAATTTAGTTTAAAATCAGTGTGACGCCAAGCCGCCAATCATGAGAGCGAACCCAAGCCCAAAACAAATTTTTTGGGCCACAAGTCCACAATAATTTGATCCATCAAAAGAATCAAAGATCCAGTTATCCACTAACGTTACCTACCCAAGAAAAATTGAAGTAAATCGGACCGGTTAGGGTTTTTCAGGGTATATAAAGCGGACCTGCTGGCCCCTCTTCTTTTTGTTGGTTCGCGTCTGTGTGTCGAATTAGGGTTTCAAGAGCTACTTGAGAAACAAAGAGCAGCAGCCCTCGTCGTTCAACCATGAGAGCCAAGGTAACCTGTAAAACCTTTTACCCAAGCACGATGCTTTAGAAGATTCTTTCTGTTCTAGCTTTACTATTTCCTTTGTCCCCCAATATTAATCTGATTGGGTTTCTTTCGTTGTCGAGTCAACTCATTCATTGGTATCTTCGTTTCGATCTTGGGTGATTTTTACAGTGGAAGAAGAAGCGTATGAGAAGATTGAAGAGAAAGCGCCGAAAGATGAGACAGAGGTCTAAGTAGGATGGGGGATTGTGTTCTATGAGGTCTTGCAATGGCCCTTTTGCGGCATTGTAGGATCTAGATTTCTTTCAATTCGATGTTAGTTTTTGTTTTTCCTTGCAAATTAGTGACAACAAGTTGTAGAGAAGCCAAGTGAATTCTGGAAATGGTGCAGACAGCTTGTTTCCATCCAAACGAATCAGCTTGGAAAGGGAAGCATCCATGGGGGCTGAAAGAAAACAGTTTGGCATGCTCAATACTTGCAAGTTAGACAGAGAATTTGACAATGCCCGGCTCCACTTACGCCTCCTCAAGATTCCAAACAAGGCAAATGCATTTCCAACAAGAAAGAAATTCACAGATAAATTAAGAGTAATCAAGCTTGTCGTTCTTGAAATCTGAAGTGGAATTTGCCCTTTGAACCCAGCATTGGAAAGATTAAGATGCCTCAAGTTTCCTAGTTTATCAAAACCGAAGGAAATGTTCAACTGAAGCTGTTGTAGGCCAAATGGGCAGTAACCACACCCCAAATTTAGACTCTAGAGATGCTGGAGATTGAAGAGACAGTTTGAATTGTCAATTCCATCCATGATCCATTCCTTGCTCAAATCAAGATCATTAACAGGACCTTTGGCATTACATTTTGCACCGTCCCACACGTAACCATCTGTGCTTTGATTCCAGTTCACCAGTTTAACAAAAAGAGGAATTGAACTCAAGCCTGTTCTTCAATTGAAGCGGCAACCCCTTCCGGTTGCTTTGACGTTGACCAGAAACCAAAGCACCTTAGCCTGTTTGGTGTGGTCGGAGCTATGAAATCTGTTGTGAAAGGGCTGTTTTTGAGAAGTTAGATGTGTTTTGTAAAATTTTTTATAAAAGTACTTGCAAAGTAAAAAATTGTTTGATAATTTTTTTTATAAAATATCTTTTAATGTTAAAATGACTGAAATAGACATTGTTTATTTTTTTATCACTTTAATTTTTTTTATATATTTTTATATAATTTTAAATTTATAATTAATTTAAAATT